AAAACGTGGCGTGATACTAGTCACGTGACCTCGCTGACGCAACAGCACAATATGTGTTGGTATTTGATCTCACAAGTTAGGATCCCCCTTTCAAATATTCTGTGTATGGACCTGTGTACATCTAAAAACTACAGATAGGAAGGCAATAAGGCCAAAAACCCAAACGCTAAATTTATAATGAAACCTTAAATCGGCTTAACGTTTCTGTTTAGGAAGTACGATCAGCTATTTTTTGAAATTTAAAACCGTTGAACGACCTTGTCTGTCATCGGCCAAGCTAGGCTGAAAAGAGGTGGCGCAACGCAACGACAACTGCGTGAAGGAAGGTGTTTATTATTACAAGTCACCTTAAATAGTAGATGGATATTAACACCGAATTTTAAATTTAGGCGGACACTTTAATAACCTTTGGCACTGTGTTAAAATAAAGATTATAATAATGTACTACAAGAATTAGATCATTATAATTATCCAGAGGTGTAGGAGACAAACTAAATCTGGAGGGTTCACCTATCCTCTCCCCACCCCCTGCTTCTTAGGCCACTGATATATATTCACAGGTAAATGTTTGGTAATTATGAGTAACAAGTTTGACTGAAAGAAGTTAGTGTGGATGCAATGGTTAAGTAATGGATGTATACGTGATTCTCAGTTAATGGTGGATGTAACGTGATATATAAGTAATCAGTCTAGAACTTGTAAAAAAATCAGAAAAATAATGGATGTGTAAGTGATTGTCGGGCTCTGACATTCGATACAAACACAAAGAATCAACCACTCAAACTTCAAATATAGCGTCAGCTATATTTCAGAGTAATTTGCGAGTAGTACGTAATTAGCTACAGTTCAGATTCTGTGTAGATTCTTTAGTTATGGTTCAGATCCTGTGTATGTTTATTAATTATAGTTCAGATCCTGTGTAGGTTTATTAACCACAGTTCAGATTCTGTGTAGATTCATTAGCTACAGTTAATTTCCTGTGTAGGTTTATTAGCTAAAGTTCAAATCCTGTGCAGGTTCAATGAGAACAGCTCTAAATGTCCGTTTTTCTTATCGTTGTGTAAACAAGCTATGATTCAATTAAGTGTGATAGAACGAAGTGTTACGTATCTGCTCGTTTGATAATTTCCTTAATTTCCGGTATAAATTCTTTCCGAGGAACTTCAGCGATACAAGTCCTTTCTTAATTAAAACTAGTTTATTCTTTCTCCATACAACTTTGTAATACACAGAATTTCCACAGTCACTTTAAACTTAACAACCTTTATAACACACGCTATAACTCACAGTGATTCACACACTTTACTTACGGTCCCTACTGTTCGCTTGACTCAATTACCTATCTGCCTATATCTTGAATTTATGCCATTGCGCTGGTTTTTCTCGAGCCTCGAACAAACTAGAGTTGCCAGGAAAATTCATGATCCTTCGAGAAACTCCAGGGTGCATGCTCCCAGCGTCGCGTGACTTCCGCTGTCGTAACAGAAGGGATACTGAGAATGAGAATTTTGTAAGGATAATTTATCTCTTCTTTAATACGTGGAAAAAAAAAAGTTAAATGTTGCAACTTATTTTTACCAAGACTGAGATGTTTTCTTATAATATCAAGAGCTTATAAAGGAAAAGTGATAATAGAATTGTGACGTAGGCGAACTTAGAAACTTGGCTAAAGTTAACCCCACAGAGTATTTGTATTCCAGGTTTTGAAAGAATTCGTGGAAAAGGGGAACACTAAAAACCTGGTAGCCTTGGACTTGGACAGAAATGAAAATATTTCCGAAGAGACTCTTTTAAGGTTTATTAAACTTCAGGGCACCTTCTTGAGAGGCCTGATGTTATCGGGAATTCCTCATCTGACGGAACAGTTTTGGATTTCAGTTCTTCCAACTTTGAAAAATATCAAGTAAGTCCTCTTTTTTACTCGAAATAATTTCTACGGGCATTTTAGTTGATATTTTGCCTAAAAAATTGTCTTTCGTATGATAAAATGCTACACAAAAGCCCCCCCCCCCACCTCCCAAATGGCAGTGGTATGTCTTCAGACTTACAACGCTAGAAATCGGGTTTCGATACCCGTGTTGGGCAGAGCACAGATAGCCCATTGCGTAGCTTTGTGCTTAATTACAAATAAACATACACAAAGGGCTATCTGTGCTATGCTCACCGATGGAATCTAATCCTGAATTAATGTGCCTATTGATTATCCACCAATTTTAATAAATATCACAAATTTAAAAACTTTCTTCGATATCACTATTCCCTATAGAAGGCCTAATAGAGTTATAAGATATCAAAACCTTACTAAGACTTCCTCACTTTCATGTATTTTCCAAAATATTTCGATAATTAATATACGTGAGTACAATACAATAGTAAACTGACCAGTAACGATTTACAAGCATAATTTTTTAATGTAGTGAACATACTATATGTTTCCGAGGACAGTGTCAAGGTGGGAGTTTGACTGGAACAGTAAATCTTTCAAATAAGATTCTTGACAGACCAATGTTCTATATATAAAATTACTTCTGTTATGTTTATAAATCGTTGTTGGTCAGTTTACTATGGGTAACGTATATATGCAGTTACTTTCTGATGATCTTGACAATTTATTATATCACTGAATTTAGTGGTCCGATTAAGATGTGATTGGGATTTATTTTTTCGAAGGCTTCAAACTTTTTTTCTTAAGATGTGTATCAGACAATTATTATTAGCTGAATAACTGTTTGTTTGTTTTTAACTTAATATTCTTATCACCTTAACAACTATAATTCTTTTGGAGGATTCTTGTCATGGGAATGCCCGAAGGTTGTTGTCAGAAGATCCATCAAAAGATCCACATTGATTCTCTGATGGAAGGCATTGCCAATAATTGCGACCAGCTGGAGAGGCTGGAAGTCCGCTGGGATCCGGACACTTTAAGATTTAGCGATCGTAGCAGTAAAGCCATCGACTCCATTCGAGTCAAATGTCTCCGATTGAAATCCTTGGTGCTAAGCGACGGAAAGTACTTTGAATTGGTCAAGTCGAATTTCGAACGAGCTGACCGACATACAGTCGTTCGCACTACAACAAACTGTCAGGTGACGTTGGTTTATCTTCTTATGTTTTACAAGGATATGTTGTTTAACTGATCGGGAAAGAAACATAACGACAGTGATCTCAACTTAACCTAATGAAAATTTATTAAGTCCCAAAAATAAGAAAGTCTGGATGATAGTTTTGTTATGTTTTGTCCTGGAAATATCACTCTGCTAAAGTTTCAAACATTCAATTAATTAAACAAGCAGAATGTGTATGTTTGTCGACGTCATAAATATAAAGAAGTGTGAAGAAAAATGCCTCTGTTTATTTTTTCAGTACTTTATTGCTTTAGGTATTTATTAGTATTTTCCAACCCGAACGTTACCACGCGTGAAGCATCAGCTAAACCTCTAGGTTCAGACATAGTCGTCCCTAATTTAGGACTTTGACCTGATGGAAGGCAACCAATCAGCATTAACTGCTACCTAGAAGATGAACTGACAATTTTATAATATTGTAAATGCTCAGAGTGCAGAGCTTCTTAAACGTTGTATCACTGGATCGAACCTTGGACTTTCAAATGTGCAACTAACCATTCACTAGGCCACGCCCGGCATTTATTGTCTTGAGTGGTATGTGCCGAGTCAATCAGAATAGGTTAAGCTGGATAAGAAGTGATACTCTGTACGATTATTCCTCTTAGTTTAATATTAGGGAATAGGCAAAGCTTTGTTATTTGGTGTTTAACATGCCAACAGTTGAACTAAATAATTTAAAACTTTGACCTAATAATTTACAACTACGTAAGTGACATCTTAGTTTAATATTAGGGAATAGGCAAAGCTTTGTTATTTGGTGTTTAACATGCCAACAGTTGAACTAAATAATTTAAAACTTTGACCTAATAATTTACAACTACGTAAGTGACATCTTAGTTTAATATTACGGAACAGGCAAAGCTTTAGTTATTTAGTGTTTTACATGCCAACAGTTGAACTAAATAATTTAAAACTTTGACCTAATAATTTACAACTAAGTAAGTGACATATTAATAGGATAGGATAATTTACAAAACTATCTTTGTTATGCTTTCTCCTAAAATGACGAAATAAATTCACTGCTTCCCATGACATAAATACAACGAAGCAATTATAAGTTAAACCCTTATAGGCACTTGAAGTTAAACCCTTCTTCTTGACTCTGACGAGCGATTTACCATATCACGTTAAAATTTTCGATGTACTCCAGAAACTACCACAAGCATTTGTTCTTTGGCTGTTTCCACCACGAGTATCGAAACCTGATTTTATGGTTATAAAACCGAAGATTTACCGCTGAGCCAATGGAGGGCTTTAAAACAATGTGTGTGGTTTACACTTAATAATTTACTCTTGGAAAACACACTTCCGGAAAATTCACTAAGAATAGCAACGATGAAAGGTCTTTCAATAACATTCTTGATCAGGAAAATTCACTAACAGCTAGCAAGGATGAAAGATCTTTCAATAACATCCTTGATCAGGAAAATTCACTAACAGCTAGCAAGGATGAAAGGTCTTTCAATAACATTCTTGATCAAGAAAATTCACTAACAGCTAGCAAGGATGAAAGGTCTTTCAATAACATTCTTGATCAGGAAAATTCACTTAGACTAGCGAGGATGAAAGGTCTTTCAATAACATCCTTGATCAGGAAAATTCACTAACAGCTAGCAAGGATGAAAGGTCTTTCAATAACATTCTTGATCAGGAAAATTCATAAAAAGATAGCAAGGATGAAAGATCTTTCAATACCATTCTTAATCAGGAAAATTCACTAAAAGATAGCAAGGATGAAAGGTCTATCAATAACATTCTTGATCAGGAAAATTCATAAAAAAGATAGCAAGGATGAAAGATCTTTCAATACCATTCTTAATCAGGAAAATTCACTAAAAGATAGCAAGGATGAAAGGTCTATCAATAACATTCTTGATCAGGAAAGTTCTAAAAGTAGCAAGGATGAAAGGTCTTTCAATAACATTCTTGATCAGGAAAATTCAGTAAGAGTAGCAAGGATGAAAGATCTTTCAATAACATTCTTGATCAGGAGAATTCACTAAGAGCTAGCAAGTTTGAAAGATCATTCAATAACATTCTTGATCAGGAGAATTCATTAAAAGCTAGCAAGTTTGAAAGATCATTCAATAACATTCTTAATAAGGAAAAGTCAGTAAAACTAGCGAGGATGAAAGGTCTTTCAATACCAGTCTTCATCAGGAAAATTCACTTAGACTAGCGAGGATGAAAGGTCTTTCAATACCAGTTTTCATCAGGAAAATTCACTTAGACTAGCAAGGATGAAAGGTCTTTCAATACCAGTCTAGATCAAAAAAATACACTTAGACTAGCGAGGATGAAAGGTCTTTCAATACCAGTCTAGATCAGGAAAATTCACTTAGACTAGCGAGGATGAAAGGTCTTTCAATACCAGTCTAGATTAGGAAAATTCACTTAGACTAGCGAGGATGAAAGGTCTTTCAATACCAGTCTAGATCAGGAAAATTCACTTAGACTAGCGAGGATGAAAGGTCTTTCAATAACATTCTTGACCAGGAAAATTCACTAACAGTTAGCAAGGATGAAAGGTCTTTCAATAACATCCTTGATCAGGAAAATTTAGTAAGAGTAGCAAGTTTGAAAGGTCTTTCAATAACATACTTCATCAGGAAAATTCATAAAAAGATAGCAAGTTTGAAATATTTTTCAATAACATTCTTGAATAGGAAAATTCACCAAGAATAGCAAGGATGAAAGGTCTTTCAATAACATTTTTGACCAGGAAAATTTAGTAAGAGTAGCAAGAATGAAAGGTCTTTCAATACCATTTTTGATCAGGAAAATTTACTGAGGGCTAGCAAGGATGAAAGGTCTTTTAATACCATTCTTGATCATTGTGAGAGGTCATTTTTTGAAAATTCTTTGAAAATCAATTATAAACACATCTGATATTACTTAATCCAGATGAAAAATTACTAACACAGACCGTATACATTTTCTGGAAGTGTTTTAAGAAAAACTAGAAAACAGTGACATAAATGTACTTCAGCAAACTATAAAATCAAAATGTCCCAATATTATAGCATTTTGTATTAAATATATATACATAAAAGTTAGCTTTAAATAAAGAAAAAAGTGATCTTTAATAAATTTCGGATTTTTAAAGATTATTTACACTGTTATAGGGGTATAACTCGTCAAGAGACAGTGGTTCAGCATTAACAAAGAAACTATCCACTGTTACAGGGGTATAACTCGCCAAGTGACTATGGTTGCTGATTAACAAAGAAACTATCCACTGTTACAGGAGTATAACTTGCCAAGAGACTATGGTTCAGCATTAACAAAGAAACTATCCACTGTTATAGGGGTATAACTCACCTAGTGACAGTGGTTCAGCATTAACAAAGAAACTATCCACTGTTACAGTGGTATAACTCAACAAGTGACAGTGGTTCAGCATTAACAAAGAAACTATCATGTTCATTCACAACCTGTCAAATGGAATTAAAATAAATCTTTTATAAGTTTCTTCAATAAATGTTAGTTTTCTTCCTAGTTTCTCCTTTTCAGATCTTATTTCAGTTATTACACTTGTGTGTTCAATGCCTTACACATCTTTACCTATACTTAAGTAACCAAATATCGAAGGGTTGTAAAAAGTCCTTGTACTCAATGCCATAGAAACTCAAACTACTTTGGCTCTGTGACTACATTGTTTTCTGTTTATTTGTTGTCAAATGCAAAGCCACATAATGAAATATCTGTGCTGTGCCCACCAAAGACATCGAAACCCAGTTTTAACCATTATAAGCCTTTAGACTTAACATTGAACTACTGATGGTGGGGAGTATACTGCTCTTTAACATTTTTGTCCAAACGGTCAGCAAATTATAGTTCTCTTTGTCCTCATCCTATCCTCTAGATTTTTGTCCCTCACCCCAGAAGATTTAGGTTTTGTGAACAAAGTTTCCCTTGCTGTCTGTATCCAAAATTATATTCTGTAATACATCTCTGGAACCTAATTTCTTCAGTTACTTTTAAACTTCTGTTAGATAGCCTTGGAACTGAAAATCACAGGTTAAAAAAAAAAAAAGTTTGAAATAAAGGTAAAACTAATGCAAATGTTGTAACTTTACAAATACTGAAACTGAAAGTTTGCCAATCTCTGATAAATATACACACACACACACATATATATATACACACACACACACACACATATATATATATATATACACACACACACACATATATATATATATATACACACACACACACATATATATATATATATACACACACAC